ACACGCTCGTGCATATCTGAGCGTCGAACACGGTGCACGGGACAGAGCCTGTCTGCACACCGACATGCATATACAAATGTGCAAACCCACCCGTGCGCACTGCGTCCTCCACCCGGGCAGCCGAGTACACGTCACCCACACGGGCACGCATCTCCATGCACATATGCACATTGCTGTGCACGCACACGCACAGTCCACGCGTCTCCCTCCACATGCCTGAAACACGCACAAACTTGGATCGGGACCTCCAAGGGGTCACACGAGAATACCCTGGTACACAAGCAAGGGTACACACAGATCCGCCCGCACAGGCGGGCGCGTACACGCGTGTGCACACCACGCGCACGCGCACGCACGGAGCCTCCCGCGCGCACAGCTTCCCGCAAGGCACTCGTCTCGTCTCCCCTCCCCCTCCGCCGCAGAGCCGGGGGTGGAGGGATGGGGGTGGGGGGTGAGGATAGGGCAGGTGGAGGAAGCCGGGGCCCTACCCCTCCCCAGGCTCGCGACTGCCGCATCCTTCCCCTCATTTAACGCCGGCCAACTTCGTTCCCCTACCCCAGCCCATCAGTCAAATGAAGGTTATGTATGTGCTCCGAGAGGGAGCGCACCGGACCGTCCGGGAGCTCACCTTGCCCTACACTGATGCGGCGGCGACCCTAGCGGCAGCGACTTTTTTGGCAGCGGCGGTGACAGGGCCCCCAGTGCGCTGATGTGGGGCTGCGTGTCAGCGGAGGCGACGGCAGCGGCTCAGGCCCCTGCAGTCCGCGGTGACGTCCTGCACAGAGAGGGGCGGGGCTTAATATGCAGATGAGGTCGTGACGCCATTCTAGGGAGGAGCCACAGATGGGGATGTGGTCCACGGTCGCACGCAGAGCCGGGAGGGGCGGGGCTCTCACGCAGATTGACATGAGAATGGGGCGGGGCCCAGCGAGCTCATCCAGTAGCTAGCAGAAGCGGTGCGGGAGGGGTGGAATCGCCTGCCGGCTCCACCTCTCTTCAGCGTTAGGGAGGCGGGGCTGCGCGGCGCCTCCTCATTGGCTTAAGTCCTCGAGCGACGGGCTAAGTAGCCAATCAAAGGTTGTCACGCCCTCCTCCTGTCCAATGGCAGTTCCCGAGCGGTTGAAGGGACAAGAGGTTGAGGCCTGGCCTGAGCCTGGGTCTTCTGGGGGTGTTCCCCTTCCCCGCCCCCATGCACCCAGGTCGGAGACTCAGGAGGTCCCCTTTCAGTCCAGGGAGCTGTGACCTCTCCTTAAACGCTCCCTATTCCCAATTTCGGAAAAGAGGAACAGAGGTTCGAGAAGATGCTCCACGTCTCCTATTTATTGGGTTCAACATAAGTAGAAAAGAAGAAAAAGCGGAAATAGGGGTCAAGATAGACTCCGTCTAATTTCAGCTGTAAGACCCCCAAAAGGGACCGGGCTAGTAGATGCTCCACCCTGTTTCTGAGATGAAGAAAGAAGAAATTGGGATCAAGAGAGTCACCCTTCCCCACCAATTTCCAGAAAAAAGGAAGGGGCTAACGAACGCTCCAGGAAACCCTTTCCTTCCTGCTCCCCATTTTCCAGAGAAAAATTCAACGAAATGCAGGAAGTAGGGCAGAAAAACGGCCTGTCCCTTAAACTCGCAAAGTCTGCGGTAAAAAACCTGGGAAACAGGGAGGATACGAGCGAGGTTCAAAGACCCAACAATAAAGACAAGGGGTGGGAGATGCTTTACTCCTCCCTGGTTCCTGAGTTTAAAAAGACAGGGACAGAGAGTCCTCCCTCCTCCATCCTGGCAAAATGAGACTCAGAGATGGAGACTTTGGGGTCCAAGGTGACCCGTCACATCCGTCTTCATGTGAAAAAGTCAGAATTGGGGGAGGGGAGGAAGAACGAGACCTTGGCCTCCATTCCAGGTCTCTGCCCTCCACCCCAACTCCGGTCCCCACACCCGGCAGGGGGCGTGTGGCCCCAGGAAAATTCTGATCTCCCTGATTCCTCCTCAGGAGACGAGGGGCGGGGCTTGTCTTCTTTATAAAAAGCTCGCCAGCTGCAGAGGCGCCTAGAAACCAGAATAACTTAGCGCCTGGAGGCCGCCCACTCCCCCCACCCCCGCCCCCAGCGCCCCGGAAGTGCGGAGACGTCCCTCCAGCTCTCCTTGCAGTTGGGAAATCTATTTTTTTCTAAGGATAACATTTTTGTCCCTCCTCTTCACTCAGACTATAAAAGTATCACAAACCCACTGCGGAGAGCTGGGAAGATTCAGAAAAAGATAATGAATAAATATAAATCCACCTCCAATCTCTCCCCACGGGAAGACCAGCAGTCGAGTTCCCGCTTTGGGGTGGGGGATTGGGGGGGGGTGTTCCAGGCGCTGCCCAGGTGGAGGCGAGGGCGTGCGAGGCAGCTAGGCTCCCTGACCTCCCAAATGCATGCTTCCGTGTTTGTACGTGGGTGTCGATCGGAAATACCCACTTATTTTTTTCCCAAAGGGTAAAGGCCCACACCAATGTATACCAGCTTCTGCACAAAGGATTTTGTATTTTATTTTATTTATGTATTTAATCATTTATTTATTTGGCTGCGTTGGGTCTTCGTTGCTACACACGGGCTTTCTCTAGTTCCAGCGAGCAGGGGCTACTCTTCGTTGCGGTGCGCGGGCTTCTCATTGCGGTGGCTTCTCTTGTTGCGGAGCACGGGCTTTAGGCGCGCGGGCTTCAGTAGTTGTGGCACACAGACTCAGTAGTTGTGGCGCACGAGTTTAGTTGCTCCACGGCGTGTGGGATCTTCCCGGACCAGGGCTCGAACCTGTGTCCCTTGCATTAGCAGACGGTTTCTTAACCACTGCGCCACCAGGAAAGTCCCAGGATTTTGTATTTTAAAATAAAAATAATGGAAGGATTTATTGTTAAGAATAAGCATAAAGCTCTGGAATTAGGGATGGTCGAATTGGAGGTGAGGACTACAGACTTGAGGGGAGGTGTTCTGTGTGGTCCGAGCAACAGAGCTGCATAGGAGAAGGGCCCCAAACCCTCTCAGATCCCATCCCACTACCTCATCTTTCTCCTCCGGTGAGTCATTCCCTCTTCGAGGTTCCAGGTGCAACCTTGCCTCAGGGCCTTTGCACCTGCTGTGTCCTCTTCCCCAGGTATTTCCCCAGCTCCTTCTGTGCCTGACTCTCTCATCCCCTTCAGATCTCCAATCAACACCCACCTCCCTCCAGAAGTTCTGATTTCACCATGCCACCTCCTATCATGTCACCATAGTTTTCCTTCCTGATACATCCCCATTAGAAATGATCATGTTGACTTATTTATCCAATAGCCAGCTGTGAGCTTTGAAAGGCGGGGATCGGTGTCCCCAGCACCTACACCTTTGGACACAGTAGGTACCCTGTGATTGTATGACATGAATGAATGAACAAATGAATGATTGGAAGGAGCATGACTTTGGCCACTGAGGTTAGGGAAGACCTCTCTGAGGAAGTGACGTTTGAGCAGGAATATGAAGGAGGAGAATGAGCTGGCCACTGGGAGAAGTGGGGGAACAGTGCTCCAGACAGCAAGAACAGCAAGTTCAAAGGCCCTGAGGCTGGAACTCACTAAACAAGCTCGAGGGACAACTCCTCTCCAGCTCTGTGAGGAAGGGGGGCCAGGCAACATTTTCTCCCTCAACAGAGGGCAAACTGAGGCCCTACGAGTCACCCTAGGAGTTCACAAGGGCTGAAAGTTCCCAGGGGCCCTAAAGATCTTCTCCCACCCTCCTCTTTGGGTCTAGAGTGGGCCACAAAGGCAAGGACTATGTCCCTCAGGAAGGACCCTAAACGGGAGGAAATGGGAGACCTGGAGCACATGAGTGACTTCTTCCTCATCCCCTCTGTGAGCCTCAGTTTCTATACCTGTGAAGAAAGAGCTCAGGACATGCTTTCCTCAGACAATACCTGTTGTTACAATCCTGTGATCCTCACAAAGAGCACATTTTACCCGCGAAATGACAAAGGCTCGGGGAGGTTAAGAGATTTGTTGACATTGTCAAAGACTCCCAGAGAGCTTCCACCAGTGCCAGCCTGGGGTGGGAGGGGGAGGGTCAGGAAGGACTTCCTGGAGAAGGGGATGCTGAGCTGAGACCCAAAGAGGGGGGATGAAGGAGAGAAGTATTCCAGGTAGGGGGCACAGCATGTGCCAAGGGCCTGAGGTGGGACTGTGCTTGGGGTGTTAAAAAACCAGTGTGGGGGGGCTTCCCTGCTGGTGCAGTGGTTGGGAATCCGCCTGCCGGTGCAGGGGATACACGGGTTCGAGCCCTGGTCTGGGAGGATCCCACGTGCCGCGGAGTAACTAGGTCCATGCACAGCTGCTGAGCCTGCGCTCTGGAGCCCGTGCTCCGCAACAAGAGAGGCCCCCGCAATGAGAAGCCCGCTCGCTGCAACTAGAGAAAGCCCGTGCGCAGCAACACAGCCAAAAATAAATTAAATAAATTAAAAAAAAAAAAAAAACCAGTGTGGGTAGTGTGCAGTCAGTAAGGGGAAGAGGGAGGAATACCTGTGGCCCAAAATGAAGGGGGACATATGAGTGTTCTTATGAATGGGTAGAGAAAAAAACAGAGGGAAATAAGGTGAAATGCTGAAGGCAGATGATCTGTGGGTGAGGCTACAGCAGAATTTTATTGTCGTCTTTACATGTTTCCAGTATTTTCGGATTCTCTACAGTGACATGTATTACTTGCAAGGTGGAAAGGATAAAAAAATATATAAATAAAAATCCCATAAATCTCTCTGCCTTTTAAAAGTGTGGAAGGAAATGCACCAAGTTCATGATCCAGATGCCCTTTAATTCTCCCTCTGTGGCATTTGATCATTAATTGTGATGACGACGGATCATCAACGGAATGAAATTATTAATGAAATTATTTAGGAATGAAGCTGTTCTTGAAGCCAGGGGCTGCTGTGATGGCTTGTGCCATGTATAAATCATTAGACACGCGGGGAGGGAGGCTAGGGGGTGGGGGGTGGGATGGGGGGGATACTGAGGCCTCCGGAAGCGGGAATTGAATCTGAGACTTGAGCACAGAGCCGCCTCAGCTGCTCTGCGCCAGGCCGGCACCCTCAGGGTGAACTCAACCAAGCTGGGTGCGGGAGAGACCTCTGGCAAAGCGAGGAAGGGCCCCGAATTCGCCCCCCTCCCCTCTGTGCCTCCAGCCACCAGGGGGCGCCGCTGGCTAACGTCTGCCCCCCAGCTACAGGGCCCTGAGCCCTCAGGCCACAGGACCTCTCCGCTCCTGTTTCCCCATCCGTGAAACGGGCACGGTACTAATTATGGGTGATAGAGTTTATTTAAACCCAGAGAATGCCTCATATTTCTAAGATATTTCAGGGAGGTCACAAACACCGCCCTCCAACCAAAGTTTACCCAAGTACTAAGGATCAGGCCATGGAGGGGAAACTGAGGCCCAGAAGGGGCTGTGACTCGCAAGAAAGCATCAGAGGCCTCCTTTTCCCTACGGGGAATCAGAGAGCCTCAGAATCAGAAGATCGAGAGACCTTCCGTGGGGGAGAAGTCTGTGCTTTTGTTGCTGTTCTAGAGAGCGAGAAAGTATAAGGGAGCCAGCAGGGGGTCCTGGGACCAGGGAGAACTAGGATCCTTAGACCTGAAGACAGAAACCACAGCAACTTAAAGCAACAGCCAGTGCACAAGCAACGAAGGCTAAATCAGTCTTCAGAGACAGTTCCTGACACACAGCCCTCTCTTTCATGGCCCCTATCACCCCCCACCAGAGCTCCAGAGACAGAACTGGGTCTGGATGAAGCTTTGGTGCTGAGAATTCTCCCATTCAAGTTCTTGTTCTCTTGTAATGAGCTGCCTTGCAGATGAAGGGGAGGTGTCTAGGGGAGGGGGCATCTCCTTGAGGCTGACTCCCCACCTCCTTGTGCAGGGCTAACCCAGAGGCACATAAGAGGCACAGGCCTGGCACACAGTAGGTGCCCGGTAAATATCGGATAAAGAATGAAAAAATAAAGTGATTGACGTGGCTGAAGAGTGACCACTGGAGAAGATGCACAAGGGGCCTGGCAGATACTCCCTTTCTACACCAGGGGTTGAAGTCCAGGAGGGAGAACTCAAGGGCCCTGGAAGAGGCTGCCCCCAGCCCAGCTCCTTGGAGAGCTCTCTCAGCTGAGCTCAGGGTCAGAATGGATCCCGCCAGGTGCCTCCAATTCAACCCTGAGACCTGTGTGTAGCTAAAAGCCTGATTGTCTCCCTCAGTGGGTGGGGAAGGCAAAGCAGGGGCCACCTGGGACCTCTTCCTGGAAAGTCTACACACCCTTCAGGGACCACTAGGTGCCCAAAGGCTCAGCCATCACATTGCCCTCATGGTCCACACAGGGCTTGCCCACGGTCCTCTGGTTGTCCAGGTATAGGGCCCCAGGGTCTGGGCTGGCCTCAGGGGACAGAAGCTCAGTGTCAGGTGACTCTGAGGCCTCCCCACCCAGTGCTCGCTCCTCCTCTCCCTCCTCCTCTTCTGCCTCCTGCAGAGTCAGCTGAAACTGGAATCTGTCGGGACCACCCTGCTTGGGGCTGGTGGGGTCCACAGGGCTGCGGGGGATCTTGCTCTGGTACCACTCGCGGTTGTCCTCTAGAGTGTCCAGCAGGTCCTGTGCATCTGGGTGTACCAGGTCAGCCCATGTCTCCCACAGTGGGTGGGCGATGTAGTCAATGAAACCCACCTGTGGGGTGATACAGAGTTGGGGGATAGAGGTTGCTGGGTGGTGTGTTACCATGGAACCTAGACCCAGTCCAGCCCCCAGGCCTTTGCCCAGGTTGTTCCCTCTGCCTGGAATGCCATTTCCCAACTCCTACACATCCTTCGAAACCCTCTTCAAATAACCCCTCCTCTTGGAAGACTCCTCTGCCCCTTTTGAGCTCCCCCAACCCCTAAGTCTTTCCCTCTACCTCAGCTCTGACTCCTCAGAGCTGGATGAATGTGTCCCCCAGACTGGGAGCACCTCAAGAATCTCCTATGTCACTCAGAACAGATACTTCCAAACTCCACAAGTGAGTGAAGATCTCTCTTTCGACAGCCCAGAGGAAATACATACCAGGCCTGACTCTACACAGCCCAGTGCAGACCCTTAGGCCACATCCCCTCATTTGCCAGCCCGGGGTCAAGCCAGGACTCATGGGGTCAGCTCAGCCACTCCTTTCCCTCCCACCTCCCCAGTGCCCACCAGCTCAGCTCAGTCACCCTCAGACCTGGGACTTCTCCACTGAGGCTGTGTGCTTATCGCACATAGGGCTGATGTCCAGGCCTGATTCGCGCTCACGGTCGCCCTGCTGGAAGAACTCAGCCATGATGCGGTCTGTCCACTGGCGGTAGAGTGGCAGCGGCTTGGTGGGGTTGCTGAGGTCGGCACAGTGCACCAGGCTCTGCAAGACCTGGTGAGACCGAGGCTCGGGAAGGCTCAGGCCAGGCCACCCCAGGCCTGGCACCCGCCCCAGAGGCTGGCGCCATGGACATACCCATCTTACAGGTGGGGAAACTGAGGCTGGGCAGGGGAAAGGGTGGCTAAGGCACAGCCACGTGACCGTATGTGCCTCCATTTCTTCAAGTTGGGCACGCAGTTGGCACTTCATAAATGCAGTTGAATGAGAGTGTGGAAACCAAGACCTTAGGGCTGGCCCAGCCACACACCTGGATGTGGTCGGAGTAGTTGTCTAGCAGCAAGACTCCAAGGCTTGTCACCTTCTTGGTCTCCACCATGGTCTTGAGGTCAGCCAGGATGTTCATGTGTTTGGACATGTCTGTGGCCAGCACCTGGGGGAAGGTGAAGGAGGATGGCAGGTATGAGGATAGCGCCTGCCCCACCCCCACTCCCCACTTCCCAGATGCCACACCCACTTGGATCCACAGCCCCCTGAGCCTCAGTGTCCTCATCTGTCAAATGGGGGCATGTATCAAGATTTGCTGTAAACCCAGCTCACAAGAGAAGCTGAGTCAATAGTCCCTTCTCGGGCTTCCCTGGTGGCGCAGTGGTTGAGAGTCCGCCTGCTGATGCAGGGGACATGGGTTCGTGCCCCAGTCCGGGAAGATCCCACATGCCGCAGAGCGGCTGGGCCCGTGAGCCATGGCTGCTGGGCCTGCGCGTCTGGAGCCTGTGCTCCGCAACGGGACAGGCCACAACAGTGAGAGGCCCACGTACCACACACACACACACACACACACACACACACACAAAAGTCCCTTCTCCAAGGTTGCTGGGCTTGTGGGGTGCATCCCACATGTGGGACAGGGCATGAGGGAGGGAGATTAGACCTGGGGGTTGACATGAAACATGCCTGAAGCCCAGCAGATGACTTGGCCAGTGCAAAGGTCCTGAGGCTGAATAAGCTGAGGAACATAGAGGAGAGAGCTGTAGCTAGAACAAACGAGTGCAGGAGCAACATGGGAGCAAGTGAGGGTGATAAGAGTGGGGAGGGCCTCAGGGAGGAGTGGGGGATTTATCCAGAGGGCTGTGGGAGCCACAGGTGGACTGAGTGCTCCCCAAACCTTCCTGTGGCTGCTGCGTGGCCGGGAGGGCTGTTTTTAGCCACCGGAAGGGAAGTTCAGCTCTGAGCACAGCTGCTTAAAAATCATTTAGCTGGACCCATGCGGACCCAGCCCAGGAATGACCCACGGGCTTCTCTGAGAATCACACCGAAGTCTCAAAACTTCTCCCCAGGGGACTTCCCTGGTGGTCCAGCAGTTAAGACTCCATGTTCCCAATGCAGGGGGTCCGGGTTCGATCCCTGGTCAGGGAACTAGATCCCTCATGACGCAACTAAGAGCCCGCATGCCACAACTAAAGATCCCGTGTGCCACAACTAAAGATCCTGCATGCCGCAACGAAGATCCTGCACACTGCAATGAAGATCCCTCATGCGGCAACTAAGACCCAGCACAGCCAAATAAATAAATAAATATTAAAAAAACACTTCTCCCCAAACCTCCCATCTGGACCAAATGATGCTTCCACTGGGAGTGCCCATTGCCCAGAGCCCCCACTCTCCCTCAGCACACTTTTAGTTCCTCTTCACTTGGAGCCTGGTTTCCTCTGAGCCCTCCCCACATGCTGTTCCCTCTGCTGGGAACACTCCTCCCCACCCCATGGTCCTCTACACTCTTCAGGCCCTGACTTCAGTGTTCTCTCCTGGGGAAGCCCTCCTCAACATTGAGCATCTCTCCATCACAGCTCTGTCTACAGGTCCCCCATCATGGCTCTGCTTGTGGGCCCCCCATCATGGCTCCCACCTATGTGTCCATCTCCCCCACAGACTGTGAGTTTCATAAAGGCCAGAATTCTAATGGTCACTGTCACAGGACAAGCACAATGGATGCTCAATAAATGCTTGTTAAATAAATGAGTTGATGCACAAGACCCCAAAACGTACTGGTGTCTCCCAACTCAAAAAATATCAAATGCACAGACTTAAGTGTCAGAAAAGTTGCACCTGAAACCCGAGAAAGTTTCCACATCATTTGCACGTGAATCACACCCAAGACCTGATTAGCCTGACCAAGGGCCTAGTCACCCCTACCCAAGGCTTGGACAGTCATTGCCCCATTTTACAGACCAGGAAGCTCGGACTCAGAATGGGGACATGCCCTGGTCCAACTGAACCCCCAGCCATACCAAGATCGCCCCACCCCATCCATCGTTGTTGTCTCACCATGTCGATGACCATCCTGCGCAGACTCAGCCGCTGCTTGGTGGTAAGGTTCTGGAAGATGTCACAGTTCTCTGCCTGCAGCAGCTTGAAGCCCACAGCCAGGTGGTGGTTCTCCAGCATGGAGGTATCATTGTACATAAGTGCAAGCTCTGAGTCTGTAGGGGAGGTGGAGCACCTCAAGACCTGCCCACCCAACCCACTCCACCCAAAGGCCGGTTCTGTAAATTCTCGGTAAACTCCTACTCATGCATTGAAGCCCCAACTCCAATGCCCCATCCTCCAGGAAGCCTTCTAGGACCCTGTCTCCCCCCATGGCCCTGCCCTGACTCTGCGAGGCTGGGGGCATCTGTGTTCAGCTCTACCTCCTCGAGACTGGTGACTCCTTAGGGACTTGGCATGGCAGGAGACAGTGCTATGTGCTGGTTGAGTGAACTACCAAGTCTTTGTCTTATTAGACCCTGGGATCCTCAAGTGAGAGGGCTCCACTCTTATCTCCAGCTCTCCAGGGATGTATATAAGAGGTACCCAATAATTACTTGTTGACTGAGTTTTTCTGACACCACAAAGGATCCTAAACTTTAAAATCTCAGTGGGCCCAAATCAGCTCTGTCACATTTGTTATTCTCTCATTTACTGAGTATCTACTGTATATCTGGGTCTGCTCTCAGCACCTAAGGGAGGGAAGATTGTGGCAGTCATTTCACAAACAGGGAGACTCAGAGTAGGAACGGGACCACCTAACATCACTTGATTGACAGGTGGTGGCAGGGCCCAGCCCCCTAACTCACTGGTGTTAATGAGAAACTGATTGGAGACCCCAGGATGATCCACATCATGGATGGCGCTTGCAAAGATGGCAGCCAGGACTTCCAGGTCAGTGAACACGGCCTGAGTGGGCATGGAGCATAAGAGGTGAGGGGCAGGCTCTCTGTGCCCTGCACGCACCAGGGCTGCCTGCAGCTGTAGGGCCCTACCTCAAGCGCAGGTGTGGCCAGCAGCACATGTGTAGACTGGGCCACGTCAGCGGCGTGTAGGCTATTGTGGTAGGCCACATCGTTGTGGTAGTGACCCTCCAGTGTCAGTAGGTAGGTGGCAAGTGTGTCTGCTGGGATCCGAAATGTCTTGAGCAGGTCCCGTTCCTGGTGCATCACAGGGCCCCAGTCAGGGCCTCGGCCTCTGGGTGGCAGCACACACTATTCCTATGCCTTCTCTCCTTCTGAATCCCTATCCATCTCTCAAGTGCCCCGTCTTCCAGGATGCCCTCCCTGCTCTCCCTCTGAACTCCCCTGGTCTCTGTCCTTCCCCTCTGGCTCATCTCTGACCCCACAGTTGTTCCCTACAGACTGGGTCTCTTCAGGCCTGGCCCAAGGCTGAGGCTTGAGTCTTGTTGCCAATCAGCAGTGAACTTTTAAACCTAACAAATGCCTATCCATCCTTCAATGCCCCTGCTCAAATGACCCCATTCAGGGATGTTAGGGAGGATTTGAAGAATATGTGCCTCCTGAGGTCCTGAGGTAGGAAGGAGTGAAGGAAACACAAGGGTATTAGAAGCCAAGGGCAGGGGAGGTACCTGAAAGATGCTGAACATGATAGCTGTGAGGGGCCGGTTCCCACTTAGCTCTGCCACCTTGAACACATCAAGCCCCCACTTCTTGGTGTCTTCCAGCTCCTAAAATGTGAAGGACTGGAGCTTAACTGCAAACCAACTTCCCCAGACTCTGGAGCCTCAACCCCCATCCCCAGGACTCAGGTCCTACACTGAGCCCCACCTGGTCAGTATATAGGTGGGCAAACTGAGGCCCAAAATAGGGTAGCCACACAGAGCCGGGATTCAAACCTGGGTCTCAGCATTCCCATTGTAAACCCACCTTGGCCAGTTGTCCCTCCTGATCAGTCTGGACCCCAAAGCGTGGGACAGTGGCTGCAGAAAGGCTGGTACTGTGGGGGAGTCCACGCAGGCCTCTGATCTGGGACATGGGCCTTGGGGGCTCCGTGGGGGTCACCCTGGGCAACTCCACCTCAGTCTGCTGGTCTGTAGATGGGGCAGGGTAGGGCTCAGAGAAGTCAATTCACCTGCTAGGGTTGACCTGCTTGGCCTCAAGTACTGGACCTTGCCAAGCCTCAAGATCAACGTATTTCCTTTTTACCTGGACCAAAGTAATCTCAGAGTAAAGTCCTTTCTGGCCTGTAGATACCCTTCTCCTCTGTTCAAGGCTGATCTCAGTGACCTCTTCTGCTGGACATGGCCCCTGGGCACCTGGAGCTTAGTATTTCTCCCAAAACAGTCAAATGTCCTTTCTGTCTCCCAAGCTGGAGAACCAGCTCTGTCGTTCCCTCTATCTCCTCCTTGGCAAACTTCTACTCATGCTTCAAAACCCTAACTTTAATGTCCCCCTCCTCCTGGAAGATCCTCCTGTCCCTCCCTCTGGTCCAGCCCTGCCTCATGGGGCTGGGGGTGTCCGTGTCTGGTTCTATCTTCCTCAGTTAAGGTCTGTAGCAGAAGTCTTTCTTTCCCTTCCCTCTTCCTACCTCTGTAATGTGGCCTAGTCAGTGACCCACCATAGCTCACCCAGGAAGGTTCGGGATATGTACTCAGACACTTGGTTCCCAGAGCTGCTGGCTTCAGACAGGTGAGTCAACTCCCGGTTCAGCATCCACTTGAACTGCGGGGGAAGGTGATGTCAGTGATGATGGGGGCACTGTGGACATAGGCAAGTGATCTCAGTTATCTGGCCCTACTAACCTTGTTGGAGGCCATCTCCCCCACCGAGTGCCGCGCCTGCAGTGTCTCCAGCTGATCCAAACACCAATCCAGCTCGTCCAGTGTCTCCAAAGCCAGCTTCTGCCCAGTGTCCTCTGGGGGCCAAGCTGGTCAGGGGCCTGCCCCACCCCCACTTGGGAACCATGTGCCCCTCCTGCTCCCGTCTCTGTATCTGGACCCTGGATCCCTTCCCAATGAGAATGAGGCCACTCAGGACCCCAGGATCTCCACATCCCCAAGGGTGTTTGGGCGGGGGGATGGCGGGGGGGGGGGGGGGGGGGAGGTTTACAATTAGCACAGCCCAAGGATTCATGGGCTGGGGAGGTCCCCATAGAGAGGAAGTTCACAGCTGTCCCACAGTGGAAGGAGGGGATAGGAGCAGGCGCATTACCTGTTGGTGGAGGGGGCTGACTGCCGGATGGGGTGTTCCCGACGCATGCCTGCCTGCAGTACAATCGGCTCTGGAGCGGCCTGCCCCACCCATAGGGCCCCGCCCCCCCAAGACCTCCTGGCCCCTGCCCCTCCTCTTCCCCCGATCCCCGAATTGCCAGCCGCGCCCTTTCCTCCCGTGCCCCGCCTCTGCTTCGCCCACCTTGTCTTCTGATCCCGCCCCTCTCCGCCAGGCCCTGCCCTTCTCTCCGCAAGGCCCCGCCCCCGCCCCGCCCCCTGCGTACTTGGCTGCCCCGCTGCCTTGCAGGTGGGCAAGGGCCGCAACGTTGCTCCGAACCGTTCTCAGACTGGCCAGGACCTGCGAGGGGGGGTGGCCAGCGTTGGGAAGGAGGGGTCGGCTCTACCTGCCCGGCACGCGGGAGAAAGGAGAGGTGGGTACCCACCTGGGCAAAGGGTGTCACAATCACGTCTTCTCCGTGTCTGCGGGGAGACCAGACATGGAAGGGCGGTCAGAGGGAGCCCTCCCACACGTTCCCATCTTCCAGTTTTTTCTGTTTTTGTTTTTGTTTTTTCCTTTTTTGCGCCACGCGGCATGCGGGATCTTAGTTATTGAACCCGTGCCCCCTGCAGTGGAAGCGCGGAGTCTTAAGCACTGGACCGCCAGGGAAGTCCCCCATCTTTCAGCTTTTACCCACACTGTGCCCTCAGCTGAGGGCATCCTCCTGTCCCGACTCCCTCTTTTGGGTGTCTTCCTAGTAGTTCCTGGACTCCCCTCACCTGACTCTTCTCTGAAAGCAGCCACAGCCCCTCTGACCAATCACTCACTTTATCCCCATCTCACAAATGGAGAATCTGAGTCCCAGGGGCAACAGGGGTCTTAGTAGAGGCAGGAAATTATTGCTACCAGAAAGCTCAAATCAAAGTGTACGTTCGGTTGCTGTTAATTGGCCTTAATGTCACTGGATTGCCACGCAACCCCAGCCTAAAGTGAAGCACAGAGGATCACTGGATATCATTCTTAGCATGTCCTACTGAACAAGCAAATAGGCAAACTCCTACATAAACTTTAAGGCCCACCTCAAACGGTCATTTGAAGGAGGTGTGCCGAATGGAGGAATAAAGGAAGGAAGGAAGTAGAAAGCAGTATTATCCCCCAGCCTCAGACTCACAGGTCGCTAGCCACAGAGGAGTTCCGGGACATGGTCTTGGACGAGAGTTCGTAGTCACTGTCTGAGCGGTACAGGAAGGACTCCCGCCTCTGGCTGTGCTGGGCAGCAGGGGCTTGGATGACCCGGCCAAGGCCAGACCCAGCCTGATGGTCCAGGGCGCTTCTTCCGCATGATAGCCCATTTTCCAGGTCCAAGCTGAAGGAAAAGGAGTCATAGTCAGAGCCGAGGGTCCTGGCATATGGATGCTGGGTCATGGCCTATATCAGCTTTGTCACATCCTCCCTGGGGCCACGTGGTGGGCTGGGCAGGAGTGGCCTGCAGCTTGTCCATCTGTCCCACGGTCACACCCCCACTCAGGGACACCGCGTCCCTCACGCCTCCATCTCCACCTCTGTACCCCAGAGTCTTTTCCACTGGGACTAATCTGGACTCCAGGACATGAGTTTCAGATCTGTCTCCAAGTGGCTGTTGTGACCATGGGTAGGTCTCAGCTTTTCTATGGACATCAACAACTTTGTTTCTAATATGGGTGTGGTAGACTTCATCCCCAGGGTGCTTTTAGGGAGTTACAACCGAGCACCTGAGGAGAGTGACAGGGCTCCCGTATTACTAAGGAGTAAACTGAGGTCCAGGCCGCAGGGTAAGTTCATGGGGATTGGAAACGACTTCCTGGGCTTTCCTCTCTGGATAGGATCTGGGTCCCGCCTAGATGGGGCACACTCGAAGGCTCCTCACAGCCAGGAGGGGCCCCATCCCCAGCCAGCTTTGGCTACGCCCTGGACCACCTGTCCCCTTTCCCCAGCTCCAGCCCATATGGCCCCACCCCAATCTCACCAACCACGCCTCCAGCTCGGTCTGGCCCTATCCTTAGCTCCCCAGTTCTTCTGCTTTATTTTTGACCTGAACGCTCTGCCTGTTCTCTTCCACCTCTGGGCCTTTGCACAGGATGTGTCCTCTCCCCAGAGCACCGTCCTCCTCCTGTTCCAGGCAATCCCCAATCACCCCTCCCATCCCTCCCTCCAGCCACACTCTGACGGAATAAGGGGGATCTACTACTCTCACCCTTCGAGTCAGAGGTCAGAGAAAGAGTGGCAGGGGGCATGGGGCTAGAACAGAAGTGTGGGAGGGGGAGTTAGCAACAAAGGAGAGGGGCTGCAAGTGAGTCACAGGTTTCTGAGAAGGGAGCGGGCAGGAAAGACGGAGACAGGAAGACTCCAGGGGCCGCCCCCTAGACACGCCCCTCCTGGCCGAGGGCCAGTGTCCACCTGGTCCCCCTCCAGGTCACCCCATCCCAGTCCACGGATGGGATCGGCGCCTGCCGGAAGACTCCGAGGAGGGAATTCGGCTCAGACCGGGTTGGGGGTGGGGAATTCGGCAGGATTCTGTCCGGTTCAGCTGGATTCGGTCCGGCTCGGTCAAGTACGGCCAGGTTTGACTAAGCTGGGTCTGATCATACAGGATTGGACCTCTTCCCCTGAGTTCTGTCGGGTGAGTTCGGTAGAATTCGGCTACAACCGACCGCATTCGGGTAGGTTCGGATGCGTTCGGGCATGTTCGGCTACGTCCAGTCGCGCCAGGTTTTCGAGCAAGTCCGCGTGGCACTCGGGCCAGGTCGGGCATGTTCGGCTTAGTCCGGCCTCACCTCGGGTGTTCGGCTATGTCCGACCGCTCTCGGTCTGTTCGGGTTCTGGGGCTCCTGGAGAAGCCCCTCAAGTCCAGCGTTTCTGAGTTCCCGCTTCGTGACGTCACCCGGAGGGGCGGGACTTCTTAGCTCTTACCCGGCCTCCGAGTGTGCCGGGTGACTGGAGGAGAGACACTCTTGGGGGCGGGCTAGTGGCGGTGGATACCCTAAACCTGTGCTCAGAGGGGGAGGCCTGGGCGTGGCTACCACCTACCCCTCCCTCTCATCTCCCCAAAAGTTCTGGGAAAAGCACACCTATGGATGAATAGGGAAACGGAGGCCGGGAGAGGCCACAGCGTGCTGGGTTCGAATCCAAGTAGCGAGAACGGAGAGTTAAGGGCTGAGCCGGGGTTTTGTCGCTACGGGGGAAGCTGTTTTTCTTTCTGCTCTAAACTTAGCCGAGAGCTGCTGGGTCAGGCCGTGGTTCCATGACGCGGGCAGCGGGGAGGAGCTCGCACCGACTGTGGGAACGGCGCGTCTGTCCATCTGTTAGACAGGTAAACTGAAGCACAGGGGCCTCGGAGAGACCCGCCCTCGCCCAGCCTCACGCCCTTGACGTCCTCGACGCCCCTGTGCTCACTCCGGAGCCCTCGGCGGGGACCCCTCTTCGCAAGCTTCTGGTGCCCTGGGGGCGCTCTCCCGGACCCGGGACCCCAGTCTCGGCCTGAAATGGCCCATCAGGGACCACCGTCACAACTGCCTCCCTCTCCACCAGCTGCCACCGGCCGTGTGACCTTGGAGAAGGGACCTTTAGTCTCTGAGCCGCAAGATGCCAAATTACCAAGTGAGAAAACCGCACGAGCCAAGCGCAAGGTATGAGACCCAGTCGGCGCCCACCAGCCCCACCTCCAACCCCAGCCTCTGCCCTGCGACCCACGACGTGACAGTCGCTTCCTGAAGGGCCGGAATTCGAACCTAAAGCGGTGGAACGAGTCCTTGGAGAACGCAACCGAGTGGCGCTGCGCAGAGGCGGCGCTCTGCGCGGGTGCGCAACAAGCTCTCTCACACCGCGAACACCCTGCCTCAAAGGCCTCCATCAAATCACTTCTTCCTCCGCGGAGATCGAGGGCTTAGTGTGAAGCCACCAGGCCATCCCGTTGCTGGCGCCAGAACGGATGGCGGGGGCAGACCAAGGGGAGGAGTGACCCTCTTCCCTCCACCTCCAGGACTCTCAGCCCGCCTGCCCCGGGTTGGCGAGGGTCAGAAGGAGACGTGAGCCTCAGCCCGTCCTGCTCCAGGCCGCACAGCTGGAGAGGGACAGACGGCTGGTCCCCTGGGCGTGTGTCCAGGCGGTGGGCGGAGGGAAACAGAGATGGAGAGAGACAGTCATCAACTAAAAGAGACAGAGATAGGACAGAGGGAGAGAGATACCGAGAAAGGGCAAAGAGGCAGAGCCTTTATGCTCTGACCCCCAACCTGGCCCCAGCTGTCCTTGACTCTGCCCTTCCCACCTCCAGCCCGGCTGTTCCCATGAGCCCTGCGAGGCCCACTGTCTCGCCTCACCACAGCGGATGGGCCACGGTGAAGCGCCGCTGCAGGCGGATGCTCTGGTTCACCAGGAGCTTCCTGAAGAGCCCGGGGGAGCCGCGCGGGGATCCCCGGGGGGAGCTGGGCACAGGGGCCGGGGCGGGCGCAGGGGGACCCTGCATCGCCAAGACCGCGTGGAGGCTGGACGGAGTACAGGCTGCGCGGGACCTTTTCTGGACAACCACGGGGGCGGGGCCCGGCGGGGAGAGGGCAGGAGGCGCACCCGCCCCGCCTTCGCCGCAGGACCGCTCAGGGACGCCCTCACCGGGACAAATGGGGAAACCGAGGCACTGAGCTAGATGGGACACTCTCTGCTTCCCCTTTGGGGGAGCCCAGAAACCGCATCTTATACCACTTCCCTCTGCCACCATGTCCCCCAGTAGTGCAGCTTGCTCAGCTGATAACTCGGCTGAAAAGAGATACAGAAGTCAAAAAAGGAAGCGCTCTCCATTATCAGGGAGTCACCGAGACACAGAGTTTGCCGAGGGGCTGCCCAGATCCCACACAGTGCTTGCAATACCCCTCTACCCATTTTCCAGATGGAGAAACTGAGGACTGAGCCACCAAGGGGCTGCTCAGAAACTACAAACCCTTAATCCTTTGCCAGGTGGGGAACTGAGGCTTGGAGAAAAGCGGTAACAGATGCAAGTCTTCACGGCAAGGCAGCTCCCCCTCTTCCTGTCCCCCTCCACAAGTCCCCACATGACCTCCACCTGCTCTGACATTCCCCAGGCCCTGTCTCTGGATCGTTTCCCCTCTCCTGCTGTCTCTACTGGACAAACATCCGTACTCCACTCCTGCCAGGCCTTCCGGTCCTGTGAAGCTTCAGCTGCCACCGCCCACCCCAGGAAGGACCCTTGGAAAGGGAAGCCTTGCCCCTGGTATCAGGGGGGCTGTTCAGGGGTCTGTACCAGCTGGCCTACCCTCAGAATGCTGGGGTTGGGTGGTCTTGCCCCATTCTTCAGAAAAGGAAACCAAGTCTCAGAGAATGTCACACTTGGAGGCAAGACCCAGAACACCCACCTCTCAGGCAGGAGCAACCAAGGCCCAGGGAGGCTCTCAGGCAGAAGCAACCAAGGCCCACCTGAGGCCACACAGAAGTTATGGGCCTGACTGTGTCCTGCTGTGGGATAACAAGCCCCCTGCCTGGGCCTTGCCCCAGGGGACTGCACTAGTTTTGGGAGTCCCAGACAAATGCCACCCAGGTTTCTGGCAATCCTGGGGGGATGTGAGATACTATTTCGGGAGATCAGGGCTTCAGTGGTGAGACCCTGACCCTCCCCTGACATCTCAATCATACTATGGTCCCCGTTGTATAGATGAGAAAATGGAGGCTCACAGAGGAGTCACACTGGGGCTCAGGAGGACAGAGAGTCTCAAGGGTCTGGCTGGGAACCCCCTTCTGTCCCTGTGGCCCTGCAACCGGACACCTGGTGGGAATCAGACTCTCTGTCCCCAAGACAAAAATACCATCTGTAGCTGCTGTGGCTATACCTAATTATAGCTTGTCCCCAGGGGATAGAGGCCGCCAGGATCAGTCTAGTGGAGAGACTGGGGCTGGGTCCAAGGAGCCTTGACACCACCTCAGCCCCATGGGGGAGACTTACAGTGTTCTCATATCCCCAAGGAGAGACTGAGGAGATGCAGTCCTTCTCCTGAATTCACAAACATAAAATGGAAGGTTAAGGCTAAACACATGGGTACGAACTGAGCACTCCTTGCTCTCCCGGTGCTGAGCCAAGGGCTGTGCATGTAAAAGTCATTTTATTTTCAGAGCAACTCTATAAAGTGGGGACTATTATTCCCATTTTGTGGATGGGGAAGCCAAGGCACAGAGAGGTGTGCTCATTGCCTGAGGTCATTCAAGCCTAGGTTGGCAGCCTCCCCAGCCTCTCCCAATGGCTCCATCTCCTCTGCAGTCCCAGGCGCTACTCCGACATTAATGCTTTATCAATAGTTTTAATATTAATGTTTCATTAATAGATTCAACTTTAAATACTTTATAACCAGTTTTAACGGTAATGCATTATCAATAGCTTTTTGGATGGAGAAACTGAGCCACACAGCCAAGATTCAGCATTCAAAACCTGGCCTGCCTGACCCTGGGAGATGACCCCAAGCTTCACCCAGGAAGGGGCAGAGGCCAAAGGAGGGGTTGACGTGACTTTGTCTCACCCTAACTTTGTCCCTGCATGCTATGTGACCTGAGGAGGTGCCCAGCAGCCTCTAATGTCCTTAACACTTCGGTGTCTCAATTTCCCCTATATGAGCCTCTTCCCTGGGCAAGCACTTGTCTCCTCTGCCACCAGGTGGCCCCCGTGAGACAGGAGGTGGGTGCTGTTACACCCGTTTTATGGACAAGTATACCATAAGTCTGACGCTTTGCACATTCTGTTCCTTCTGCTTGGCATACCCTTCCCTGCACTCCTCCCGGCTGACTTCTCTTTACCCTTCAGGCTAAGCTTAGATGTCACTTCTTCCAAGCAGTCCTTCCTCACCCCCTACCTCCAAAAGATGGGTCAGAAGCCTCCTCTGGGCCCCACGGCACCCTGATCTCTCTCCATCACAGCACAGATCACTCTGTGTTGTCTCCAGCTGGTATGAGTCTGTCTGGAGAGGAGAGATGACTTGCCCAAGTCCGCCTGAAGAATCTAGTTATCTTTTTTTGTTTTTCTAAAAAAAAAAAAGTTTTGGCCACACTCCAGGACATGTGAGATCTTAGTTTCCTGACCACGTATCAAACCCGCACCCCCTGCATCGGAAGCGCAGAGTCTTAACCACTGGACAGCCAGGAAAGTCTCCCTTTGAAGAATCTAGATAGAGAGAGGAGGGTGGAGGCTGAGTCACATGTGCAGATGGTCACATGGGTCAGATCTCACCCTCCTCTGCTCCAGATCCTCCTGTGGCTCCCCATTGCCCTCACTTCTGAATCCATACCTCCCTGGACGCCTGTGTGGCCTCACTTCTGCCGGCCTCCCCAGCACACTCCTCTTGGCTCACTCTGCTTCAGTTTCATCATCCCCTCCCCACTTGCTGTTTTTCAAAGCATCCAGGCTCATTCCTATCCCATGCCCTTGCCTGAAGGCTCTTCCCCTGCTAACTTTTTTTTTAAATTTATTTGGTTGCACCGGGTCCTTAGTTGCTGTTCACGGGCTCCTTAGTTGTGGCATGCGAACTCTGAGTTGTGGCATGCATGTGGGATCTAGTTCCCTGACCAGGGATCGAACCCAGGCTCCCTGCACTGGGAGTGCGGAGTCTTAACCACTGTGCCACCAGGGAAGTCCCCCCTGCTAACTTTTTTGTCTTTCAGGTCACAGTTGAAGCATCACCCCCTGCAGGAAGCCCTACGTGACCAGCCAAGTAAAATAAATATTCCAGAGCACCCTCCTCTCATGGGTACAATTTCACATTTACTGTCCTGATTATTTGATCTGTGTCTGCCTCACCTGCCAGCCCCTTGAGGGCAGGACCAGGTCTGCCTTGCTCCCAGTTGTGCCCTCAGTGCCCAGCACTCAGTAGGTGCTCAGTAAATGTTTGTGAGATGAATAAGAGCCTCCCCTCCCACCCTCCAGCCACACTGATCTGTGTTCATGTCCTCATATATCTGATCCTCTTGAGTCTGACGCTTTGCACATTCTGTTCCTTCTGCTTGGCATACCCTTCCCTGCACTCCTCCCGGCTGACTTCTCTTTACCCTTCAGGCTAAGCTTAAATGTCTTCTTCTTCCGAGCAGTCCTTCCTCACCCCCTACCTCCAAAAGCTGGGTCAGAAGCCTCCTCTGGGCCCCACGGCACCCTGATCTCTCTCCATCACAGCACAGATCACTCTGTGTTATCTCCAGCTGGTATGAGTCTGTCTCTACCTTTAGCCTATGAGCACCTGCTTGCCCTTGGGCTGTGGCCCCAGTACAGGGCCTGGCACATGGTAGCTGCTAAATAAATGCTTGCTGAACAAGATGCTCAGACCCTCCCAGACCCATGTGATCCACCTGGGGTACTGGGGAGGAGGGCCACAGCTGAGGACCGTGCTCTGGCACAGACCGCTCATGACAAAATGCAGAAATTATGGGTTTGTGTTTGCATCTCACTGATGACACAGGCTCAGGGAAGCACCACCGCTTGCTTGGCAGAGCACAGAACATTGGCCTTGAACCTAGCTTCCCGGAAGGCTGAGCCTCTCCCACCACATCAGCACGTATATGCATGGGCAGGACACACACACACACTCACAGGAACACAACCCACCACTCCTGCCTTCCAGAGCCACGTGGTTCTCCCCCGAGATGGGCCCAAACCTAGTCTCTGTTTGTTCTTTCTTGAAGATGGAAAGTCATGAGTCACCGGGAGAGAGGGGAGGAGAAGCTGAGGGCTGGAGGGTGGAGGCAAGGGGCCTGCTGGGTCACCTAGGAAAGCTCCAACCCTTCTGGGCTGTGGGGACCTTCTGCCCCAGACACCAGCCAGGGCTGCTGGAGGGCCAGGCTGGGATGTTAGGCCAGGCTTGTTGATCAAGAAGTCTGTGGCCCCGGGAGGTCCAGGGACCAAGGCAAGAGAAAAGTCCAGAGAGGAAAGCGACTCACCCAAGGTCACTCAGCCTGGCCTCAAACCCAGGGCTCTAGATCTGGCCTGATTTAGCTCCCCCTCCCATCCAAGGAGGGCCTGGGACTCCTGGATCCTGCTCTTTGGTGGCACTGAGGCCCCTCTGACCCCACTAAGGCCCCTGTTTTTCTGTGTTTCTATGTCTGTCTTTGTCTTATTCTGCCCCCCTCCCTCAGTTTATATGAAAAGGGAGCAGCCCCTCCCCCACCTCTACTCCCCTCTTCTCCACCTCATTCTTGTGTGGAAGAAACATCCTGTGCTCAGGCTTCCCAAGAGGCTTCCCTCTGACAGCAGGGGACACGTGAGTGTGTGCGTGCGTGTGTGTGTGTGTGTGGACACGCCACAGAGGAGGCTCCTCCCCCAGCACAGCAGACAGCCTGCCCTGGCCCTCTCATATACCCAACCCAAGCTCCCCTGAAATGCTTGCCGTGGCCACAAACCCACAAACACCCGAGGACACTCCAGGGTCTGGAGGGCCCTTGGACACCGAACTGGATCAGAGCGAGGACAGTCGCGCCCAGCCACACACACGGGCACCACAA